GTCTCGAAGATAGCTAGGCCCTATGCCATGGAGCGCTTTAAAAGTGATAACCAACACCTTGAAGCGCACCCGGAAGACCACCGGGAGCCAGTGCAGCTCGCGCAGGAGCGGTGTTACATGGGAGCGCCATGCTGCTCCCATCACTACCCGCGCTGCTGCGTTCTGGACCAGCTGGAGCCTCCGGGTGCCCCTCAAGGGGAGCCCCATGTAGAGAGCATTGCAGTAGTCAAGGCGAGAGGTGACGAGGGCGTGAGTGACTGTGCACAGGGAATCCCGATCAAGAAAGGGCCGCAACTGGCGAATCAGGCGAACCTGATAAAAGGTCCCCCTGGTTACAGCCGTCAGATGTTCCTCCAAAGACAGCTGCATATCCAGGAGGACTCCCAGATTGCGAGCCCTTTCTGTGGAGGCCAAGGACTCGCCTCCAATAGTCAGTGATGGAGTCAACTGACTATATCGGGATGCCGGGAGCCACAGCCACTCAGTCTTGGAAGGGTTGAGCTTGAGCCTGTTCCTCCCCATCCAGATCTGCACAGCATCCAGGCACTGAGACATCACTTCAAGGGCATCGTTGGGGTGGCCTGGGGTGGAGATGTACAGCTGGGTGTCATCAACGTACTGATGGTATCTCACCCCAAAGCCACGGATGATCTCGCCCAGCGGCTTCACATAAATGTTGAACAGAAGGGGCGAGAGGACCGATCCCTGCGGCACTCCACAGACGAGAGGCCTCGAGGTCGACCTCTGCCCCCCTGCCAACACAAACTGCGACTGGTCGGAGAGAAAGGAGGAGAACCACCGCAATACGGTGCCTCCCACCCCCAACTCTTCCAGCCGGTGCAGCATGATACCATGGTCGATGGTATCAAAAGCCGCTGAGATCTAACAGAACAGAGGAGCAACCCCTGTCCCGAGCCCTCCAGAGATCATCAACCAACGCGACCAATGCCGTTTCCCTGCTGTGCCCAGACCTGAAACCCGACTGGAAGGGATCTAGATAAGATGTTTCCTCCAGGAATTGTGGAAACTGTCACGCGACCATATTAAAAAAGAAAAGACAAGGCTTGAAAGAACACACCTTAAAATGAAGTTCAACCACCCTCTTAAATGCGGAGGGGCTGACTCTAGCTTCTTCGTTGTCTCCAGAAGTAGAAACGTTTTGTAGTTTACAGCTCCAAAATGGAAAATGTGAGATTATAAGAAAACAGCTCGATTCTGGGCTTTTTTCTTTCTGGCAGCCAGCAAGTTCTTGCTGCCAGGTGAGAGACTTATATATTTCTGGCTCCTTAGCCATCATCAGTAAGCACACCCACATCTCATGTATCCTCCCTGTAAAGGTACAATATCTATTTTCTTACTTCTTCGTAGGATTTTTCCTCTAGCCAGGTTTTTCCTACGTAACCAAGATTTTTCTTTCTACAGCCCTATATATATATATATAATATATTTCAAGCTTTTGAAAAGGGTTCTCCCATGAAAGAGAGAACGTCTGATCACTTTGCTTACACGGTTTATATACAGCTTTCACGATACAGCAACACAATGTAAATGTCCCTTTAGGGAATTGTTTTCAGGTCTTATATAACAAATTTGGCTCTCTGCACATGTTCCACTCTGGAGTTCCCATCCAAAAATACCCTCCGAAAATACCCTGCGCAGATGTTTCCATGCTGATAGGTATTGTTCTCCCTAATGGATCATTAGGCTCTTCCTCTATTTCAATAGAACAGGTCAACCCAACCCAAGTTAGAATGTTCCAAAACAATCATTTTCTCCAAAGCAAGCATCACAGAAACATTACAGTTCCCTTTCTCCTTTCCATAATCTAATGCTTATTCATGTCCTAATTACCAGATTATATATCAGATTATATAAAAGTTAAATATGACGTTACTTAGGTTATGCTTTCGACAGGAATAATTCATTTTTCTCTCAGAAAACCACAGAAAGTACCAAGGAAAAAGGGTGACTAATTTAACTAGTGAGAATCCATCCCCAGAGGAAAAGTAAGAAAAGCAAGCAAGAGCCTTGATAGTACAGTGGTTTAATGCACCCTGTTATTAACACAGCTGCCTGCAATTTCTGCTGGTTCGAATCTCTCCAAGGCTCAAGGTTGACTCAGCCTTCCATCCTTTCTAAGGTAGGTGAAATGAGGACCCAGTTTGTGGGGGCAATAAGCTGACTTTGTATAAAATATACAAAAGTATGAAGGCTATTGCTTAACGCATTGTAAGCCGACCTGAGTCTCCGGAGAAGGGCGGCATATAAATCAAATTAAAAAAAGAAAAAAAAAAGAAAACCTTATTTAAAAAACCACTAATGTCAGGGGAAAAAAGTGGGGAATCCTAACAGGTACTTTCCCTTCTCTGCAGCTGGAGCGAATTCTGACGAATTCTTCTTGATCAACTTATCTCAAAGACTCAATAGACTGGATACATACTGGATTAAAATATGCTTTTTTTGATTTCCGTCTCCCACTTCTTTATTCTCAGGATTTAAGAGAAGAGAGTTAAGAACAAGACTTTAATTAAGTTTGAAAGGCCTCATCGGGCACACGGTGCGAATGCTGCGGCTCAGCCCCACTTTTGCACCTCCATCTTCCCTGCAAGGTCTCCCCTTCTTTTCCTTTGCGGTCGTGGGGAAAGAAAAGGCTGGGAAGCATCACCCCAGTCCCAGTCCTCGCACATCCGTCCTTGCACCCAGAGCCAGCAGTGGAACTTCGAGGCTGCCTCCACTCCCCCCAATAAATGGGGAGAAACGCCCCCTCCCCTTCTGGGGACCCCCATTTCTCTCCTTTGCTCCCCCCCCCAACTCCATGGAACCTGCATGGGAAAGGGCGGCAGGGGATCATGGGACCACGGACTCCGACCCCGCAGGAAGACTTGACCCCTCTCCACTCACCCCTCCAGCAAGGGGCCCCTTTGCACGGGCAGAGCTGCCACTCGCGCAACTCGGGAGTCTCGTCGGGATCGGCGTCTCCCCAAAGGCTTCCAGGCAGCTTCTGAGCCTCCAGCAAAGGCCCCGCCTCCCACTTTCAGTGGGGCTGTGTGGGAGGGGGAGCGGGAGGGAGAGAGGCGCCTCCCCAGACGAACTTAGGGGAAGAGTATCTATTTGGCGAGGAAGATGGGGTGGGGAAGGAGGGGAAGGGATGATGGGCATGGGAATAATAGGAGGAATGAATCCCTGTCGGAGAAAAGCGTTGGCGTCTCCAGGAGTCGAAGCTTCTCCATCTTCCTCTCTTTCCTGTCCAGGAACCCTCTGTGGAGGTGGGAAAAAAAAATCTCTCTGGAGGATTTGAACTCGCTTCCCTCAAGAACAACCACCCTGGAGGCTCCGCAGATTGGAGGAGGCCGCAAAGGGGCCCAAATCCTGTCAGAAACGGCCAGACGGTCAGAAGATGAGGACCACAAGGCTGTCTAGGACAGGGGTCCCCAACCTTTTGGACCTCAGGGACCACCAAGTTCATAATTTTAAATCCTGCGGACCACTAATACGAATCCAGTGCGCCGCTTGCTGAAGCGCCTGGGTTCCCAGTGACAGGATGGTGTCAGTCAAGCACTCTCCCTCCTCTCTCTCCCCCTCTCTTTCTCTCTCCCCCTCTCTTTCTCTCTCCCCCACTCATTCTCTGATTCCCTTTCTTTTTCTCTCTTTCATTCTCTCTCATTCTGTCTCTCATTCTCCGATTCTCTCTCTTGTCTCTTTCTTTCATTCTGTCTCTTTCTCTCCCTTTCTCATTCTCATTCTTTCTCTCTTTCTCTTTTTCACTCTCTCCTTTCTGTCTCTCATTCTTTCTTTCTCTCATTCTGTCTTTCTCTTTCTTTTTCAGTCTTTCTTTCTCTTTCACTTTCATTGTCTTTCTCTTTTTCTCTCCCCCTCATTCTCTCCTCCTTTCATTCTTTCTCTCTCCCATCCTTTTTTCTCTCCCCTCATTCTTTCTCTCCCCTCTCATTCTTTCTCTCTCCCCTCTCATTCTTTCTGTCCCCCCTCCCTTTCTCATTCTCTTTTTCTCATTTTCTCTTTCTCTCTCCCCCTCTTTCCCACTCATTCTGATTCCCTCTGCCTTTCTTTTTCTCTCTCATTCTGTCTCTCTGATTCTCTCTGATTCTCTATCTCTCTCATTCTTTCATTCTGTCTCTTTCTCTCTCCTCCTCCCCCTCTTTCTCATTCTCTCTCTCATTCTGATTCTCTGATTCTCTTTCCCTCTCCCATCTCATGGGCCATCTCATCTTGGGGCTGAGAGGAAGTCAAGCATCTCCCAAGAGACCAAAGTGTGCGGAGCACCAACAAGGGCCGGAAGAAATGGCCGTGAGATCCAGCAAGAAACGAAGCTTCGCTCCCACTCTGGAATACGGAGTGAAGCAAATTGCACAAACCTCCCTCTCCAGCGTAGATTTACAGCCCCACCATGAGCTGCCTGGCCAGTCCCATATTCCAAAGCTCTAGTCACAGGACTGGCCATTGTTCATCCTGGAGCAGCTCCTCCACCCTGGTGCGCCGCGGACCACCAAAATTTTCTTGTGGACCACCAGTGGTCTGCGGACCACCAGTTGGTGACCACTGCTCTAGTTCTGTACATACACCTGCACTTGTCAAATTTTTGGCTCTGGGTTGAAGCCAAAAATAATCGGAAAGACTGAATGGCTGCTTGTGAGAAAGTAAATAATGCTGAAGAAAAAAGAAAACCAGTCCCAAAATGGGGGGAAAGTTGAAACTGAGGGATGTTCCAGAAATTTTACCTCACAACCAGCCTCCTTGGGAGGACAAATGAAGAGGGGGGAAATGGCGTCTCCTCTGCCACAGGAGCAAAAGGGGAATGGCAAAATGATGGAAACGAGATTATAGAAAAGAGAATATAAAATTAAAACACCATGAGGGGCAAAATAAGAGGAGGAAACTTGTTTTAATACCAAACACCCGCAGGAAATACAAGTAGGAAACTTAAGACCTTTCTAGAATTTAAGGCAACTAGGATATCTCTAGATCATGAATAAAAAGAAAAGTACAATTGTTGTCTAATTTTGTGTGACTGCTACTCTGATTTCCATTTCTCTAATGCAAAATTGGACAATAACTGGCAGAAAACTTGAATTGGTGCCTTTTCTCCATTTTGACAGATTCATCCAAGGTTACTATTTGAATAAACAGCAGGAATCTCTGAAACTCAGAAGTTTGCCCCCCACCCTATTTTTTTTTGCCAATAAGCAATAGTTACGGCTTTTCTCATTATGGTAAACATACAGACAGCATTTGCTTTCCCCTCAAAAATTTTATTAGGCACATTTCCGCCAAATATTTGCCAATAAACAAATGTTACGGCTTAAAATTTATTACACTTAAAAACTCCCGCTCCTTACTTGTAAAGTTAATGCTAACCACACCTTGCTTATTTTATTCTGTTCCTATTACTATAGGTAAGCCACTATTTCTATCTTACTGGATATATCTATTTCTATCTTCTCTGTTTATATACAAAAACCCTTTTCGCTCTTCTGTGGATTTGTCAAGGGCTCCCACAGGTACTTTTTCAAAAGGGAACTGGAATTTCTATTTTCTTGAAGATGTTTCGCTTTTTATCCAGGGAGATGCTTCTTCAGAACAAAAGATCCTTCTTGGATGAGAAGCGAAAGATTTTCAAGAAAACCCAAAGAAAATCCAGTTGCCTTTAGGAAAAGTACCTTTCAGACAACGAAGACCTGGATGTATGAGAATCTCCATAGGCATTTTTTTTTTGTATTGTTTTATTTGTGGTTTTCCTTTAACACCATACATATTATGTGGACAGTGTATTGAATGGGTCAATGCCCTTTTTACACAATGTTAGCAATAATACAGTTAAATATACATCGTCCTAATCTTCCAACTTCAACATTACCATTCTGTATTTAATGATTCTTTATCACTTTTTTCATAAATTCATTCAAACATCAATAACATTTGTTTATACCACATATTTGTTATCCCCTACTGCAGGGATGGCTAACCTTTTCCGAACCAAGTGTCCAAATGGGCATACGGGCACCTCCCCAACCCTTAAAATGCAATTCATGCCTGCCGCGCATGTGCACCCCCATACACACACATGCCCCATCCCCTGCGCATGCACAGCAGAGACCTGACAACCAGCGGCGGAACTGGGGCGACAACTTGTGTGGCCACAGAAAGGGCACTGCATGCCACCTGTGTCATGCGTACCAGAGATTTCCATCACGGCCCACACTGTTAATAATACAATTAGGTTACCTAATCTTAAGATTTCACCTTCTAACCTTACTTTGTTTTTGATTATAATAAATTCTATTGTCTGTCAGCATATATACTACTATTTTCCCTATTTGTGTTTTCTACTTTTTTCTTTTATACAGTCACCTGTTAATATATTTTATCTCTATCCATCATCTCTTAATCTTTTTGAAGTTCCATCATTTGTTGACTTTTTGGTCGCCCTTTTATTTCTCTCTCTTGGAATCTTATAACTCTATTATTTTTATACCCACTGAGTATTCCCTTCGGTTTTCTCCCTTGTCTTCTTCTGCTGCATCATTTGAGCACCCATCCATAAACCTTTCTTTTTTTAAAAAGAGATTTTTATTTTTTCCTCTGTTCTACTGTAAACTCCTAAAGCATTTTCTATTTGATTCCTACTTATTAATCCTTTCTCTTCTTTATCTTTCTTTTCTTGCATCTTATTTTGATTTGTCTCCTCCACAATTTTGATTATTTTGATTTTCAGACAGGGAGATCTCATTCTTATCTGGTGGTTCTCTTAGCTGTCTCTTAGCCACTCCTGGAGCTGCACAAATTGCATTTTTCCCTCATTGCCAGCTTTGCCAACAAACTCTGCAATGAAGAAGGGGCGACAGCTGTTGTATATAGAACCACCGATATAAGAATCTCCATAGGCATCTGTCAAGGGGCTTTCGGCCACTGCTCATCTTGAAGCTTTTTCCATATTTCACAGATTTATATGGCTTCTACGCTATGTGGGTCCTTATATGGGAGTTAAGAGAATGGTTCATAATAAAACTTTCCCCACACACCATACATTTATAAGGCTTCTCTCCTGTGTGGATCTTTTTATGGGTGTTAAGGTAACTGTTTGTAGAAAAACTCTTTCCACATTCCATGCATTTATATGGTTTCTCCCCTGTATGTATCCTACTATGGTAAATAAGTCGACTGTTCTTAATAAAGCTCTTTCCACACTCCATGCATTTATGTGGCTTCTCCCCTATGTGGATCTTTATATGTGCAATAAGATCACTGTTCTTAGGGAAGCTCTTTCCACATTCCATGCATTTATAGGGCTTCTCTCCTGTATGGATCCTATTATGGTAAATAAGTTGAGAGTTCTTAATAAAGCCCTTTCCACATTCCATGCATTTATAGGGCTTCTCCCCTGTATGGATACTACTATGGTAAATAAGTTGACTGTTCTTAATAAAGCTTTTTCCACACTCCATGCATTTATGTGGTTTCTCCCCTCGGTGAATCTTTATATGTACAATAAGAGCACTGTTCATAGAGAAGCTCTTTCCACATTCCATGCATTTATAGGGCTTTTCTCCTGTATGGATCCTACTATGGTAAATAAGTTGAGAGTTCTTAATAAAGCCCTTTCCACATTCCATGCATTTATACGGCTTCTCCCCTGTATGGATACTACTATGGTAAATAAGTTGACTGTTCTTAATAAAGCTTTTTCCACACTCCATGCATTTATATGGTTTCTCCCCTCTATGGATCTTTATATGTACAATAAGATCATTGTTCGTAGAGAAGCTCTTTCCACATTCCATGCATTTATAAGACTTCCCTCCTGTGTGGATTCGTTTATGAAGAGTAAGAGAAGAATTTTGACAGAAGCTCTTTCCACACTCTGTACAATTATATGGCTTCTCCCCTGTATGGATCGAGCAATGGGAAGTAAGAGAATCACTAGATAAGAAGCTCTTCCCGCATTCCATACATTTATAGGGCTTCTCTGCTGTGTGGATTCTTGAATGTGAAGTTAGATGAATTCTCTGTATAAAGGACTTTCCACACTCCATGCATTTATAAGGCCTTTCCCCTGTGTGGATCATTTTATGTAAAAAAAGATTTCTGAGTGAGCCGAAGCTCTTTGCATACTCCATACATTCATAGGACTTCTCTCCTGTGTGGATCTTCTTATGACTGTTAAGTTGACAGTTTGTAGGAAAGCTCTTTCCACAGTCCTTGCAGTTATACATCTTGTTCCATTGGTGAATCCTTTTATGGGAAGTAAGACTCCTACTCCGAATAAAGGTAGTTCCACAATCCATGCATTTATAGGGCTTCTCCCCTGTATGGATCCGGTAATGCAAAGTTAGAGAACTACTAAGAGAGAAGCTCTTTCCACACTCCATACATTTATAGGGCTTCTCCCCTGTATGGATCTGGTAATGCGAAATAAGAGAACTACTAAGAGAGAAGCTCTTTCCACACTCCATACATTTATAGGGTTTCTCCCCTGTGTGGATTCTTTTATGGGAAGTAAGACTGTTGCTCCAAGTAAAGCTCTTTCCACACTCCATGCATTTATAGGGCTTCTCTGTTGTATGGATCCGGGAATGCAAAGTAAGAGAAGTACTAAAAGTGAAGCTCTTTCCACACTCCAGGCATTTATACGGCTTCTCTCCTGTGTGGATCCTCTTATGACATTTAAGGTAAGTATTCCTACTAAAGCTCTTTCCACACTCCATGCACTTATGTGGCTTCTCTCCTGTGTGGGTTCTTTTTTGAGATGTACGGGACTCATTTTTATGAGGAAGAGACTGCGTCCATTTACGAATTTTTTCATTGTCTCTACATAAATAATCTTCTCCTTTTGTTTGGTTTTGATAACGTTTATCTTCATCTAATTCGTTTATGAATAGTTTTGTACATTTTCCAATATGTTTGTTTTTTATTTTTCCTTCCTGGATCACAGAGGCTTTCAGTGTTGCATGAATAGAAGATAAACTTTCCTGATTGTAATTATTTGACTGGTTTCTCTCATCGCTTTCTACTTCCATTAGAATTATAGGGGTCTTTGTATTGTATCCACGACTGATCATTTGCAACAATTCCCTCGAATCTTCATCATCTTCTCCGTTATTACCTTCACAGGAAAAGAAAAATGAAAATAACTTTAGGGAAAAAGAACAAAGCATAGGAAGTTTGAATATAATAACTAACTGCTTCAAACTTCTTACCCTGTTTCCCCCAAAATAAGACAACCCCTGATAATAAGCCCAATCGGGCTTTTGAGCACATGGCAATAAAGCCAAGCGCTTATTTTAAGGTTCAAAAAAATATAAGATAGGGTCTTATTTTCGGGGAAACCCGGTAGATGCAGAGAAGTCCTTCAAGAATTTGATCTGGACTTTCTGGATTGAAATTTTGGAACATACATCTAGGTTTGTATGACAAGAGAAAAATCATGGATTAAATATCAAAGATTTGGTTTCCCAATTTGAAATTGAACTTTGTATTTTGCTGTGCAGCTTGGATAAGAAGTCGGAGTTGCTCAGAAATAAGCAAATTTTAGAAATAGAAAGGCAGACTGTCATGGATATTTCTGGTACAATAAATATAGGATCAATCTAGATTTTAAAACCATTGTCAGAAATGCCACATTGAGAACATGAAACATATATAAACTTGGGTTGTGCCCCAAAATGTCCTAATGTCTTTCAGCAGAAAAAAAGGAGCAAGGATAAACAATGGATAACGCATGGAGAGGCATTAGAACTTGGGGTGCAGGAATACCAAATTAAGTCAAGAATGGAAAAACAATATACCATAGTTTTCATATTATCAGGCACTTTCTAGGCAGATAAAGGGAACTAAGGACATTCAGTGATACAGAGAACTTGAAAGAATAATATCCAACTGAAATCAATTTATGTTGGCATTAATCCAACAGTCATAGAAGAATGTTTCTGAGTATGATAACCATAGTGGGACTATTATACACAGAAAACTAGAACTGCTCTACAATAACTAGAATTGTGGAATGGTTGAAGATGATGATAGATTTCTCAATGATGACTAAATTGACTTGGATAAGGCAGAGGATAGTATCTATATTTATTAGTGATTGAAAAACCCTGACGGACTTTTGGGTGAAAAAAAGAAACAATGAACATGTGATTTGAAGATTAGAAACGATAAATTATGTAAAGGTGGACACTATGATGTAATCTTAGAAAGGGGGCAGGGAGAAATATAACTTCTTTATTACTTTGTGTTTTCTCTTTTAATTTCATCATACTTTTTTCTTATTCATTAATCACATTACTCTTATCTTCTTTATTTCCTTTTCTGAATTTGTAGGTTTTATTCTGATAAAATTTCTGACATATTCTTACCCAAAGAGGCCACGTTCCTATGATTTTCCAGCATGACTTCCCGATACAGTGCTTTTTGGTCAACATTCAACTGAGACCACTCCTCTTTGGAGAAATACACAGCCACCTCCTTAAAGGACACAAGACTTTCCTGAATGAGAAGAAAAAAGAACAAAAAACAGGATTTCATGATCTGTCCTTATTGTTTAAATGATTCCAAGCAAAAATACACATTTCAGGCCATTCACAGCTGTCAGGTGGGGGTGGCTAGTTCAATGCCACTCACTGGGAGCGGCTGGCTCAGTAAGTACTGAAACTTCGTAACAGTAAGGACAATAAACCAGTAGACTAGCTCGTCTTCAGAAATTGTGGGCCCTCCAGAAGAAAATGCAGGATGTGTTTGTGTGTTCTTTACCACTTAAGTAAAAGGCTTGTGGTATCCCAGAGCAAATAATTCATGCGGAAAACGTCCATTGAAGTTGTTTGAGAAGCACCCAGTGATTTACATGGCTGTCATCAATTGACAAAGAAACACCATTTATTTATTTATTTATTTTATTTAATTTATATACCACCCTTCTCCCGAAGGACTCAGGGCGGTGAACAGCCATAATAAAACAATGTACAAAATAGAATTTAAAAGCAGATTAAAATAATTAAATCATAGGCCGAATTTAAAACTCTCATTTTAAAACCAATTTTAAAACCCCATTAAAACCAAATTAAAATCATTTATCCCATCAGAGCGGCTTGCTGGAATAACAGGGTCTTCACTGCACGACGGAAGGCGCGGAGGTCAGGGATCCTTCGTATGTCCGGGAGTAATTCATTCCAGAGGGCAGGGGCCCCCACAAAGAAGGCTCTCCCCCTGGGGGTTGCCAGACTACATTGTTTGGCTGATGGCATCCTGAGGAGGCTCTCTCTGTGTGAGCATACCAGTTGGTGGGAGGCAATCGGTGGCAGAATGCGGTCTTGTAGATAGCCAGGTCCTAAGCCATGGAGCGCTTTAAAGGTGGTAACCAACACCTTGAAGTGCACCCGGAAGACCACTGGGAGCCAGAGGGATGTTACATGGGAGCGACGGGTCGCCCCCATTATTACTCGCACGGCCGCATTCTGGACCAGTTGGAGCCTCCGGGTGCTCCTCAAGGGGAGCCCCATGTAGAGAGCGTTACAATAGTCCAGACGGGAAGTGACGAGGGCATGAGTGACTGTGCGCAAGGCGTCCTAATCCAGAAAGGGGCGCAACTGGGAAATCAGGTGAACCTGATAAAAAGCTCCCCTGGCCACGGCCGTCATATGATCATCCAAAGACAGCCATGAGTCCAGGAGGATGCCCAAGTTGCGAGCCCTCTCTGAGGGGGGTAAGATCTCATCCCCAATCGTCAGCGATGGTGTGAGCTGGCTATATCGGGATGCCGGAAACCACAGCCACTCAGTCTTGGAGAGGTTGAGTCTGAGCCTGTTCCTCCCCATCCAGATCCGCACCATCACTGCAGGTAAAAGGTTTGTGGTATCCCCAGACCAAAGGCTGAAGAGAAACCTGTTTGGAAAGAGCATTTTTCATCCTTTCCAAAGTGGGATTGTTTGGCCCCAAATTGGCACAAATCAGAGGATTACAAATTCTTTTAAAGGCTGAAGGGCTTTGATCTGGCCACCCTCTTTCGATTTTAACGGTCTGCTTTGTCTTTTAACCTGGTGCCATTATTTTTCTTATCACTGGTTATACACAAGGCCTTTTCAAAACTGTAAGGTCCACTGAGATTCTTTTACATATTGAGTAGTCTTCCACAATTCAATGTCAGAGAATTATTAACAGGATCACCATTCTATTAAAAAGAACAACGGTGGAGCAGTGGTTAGAATGTAGTACTGCAGGCTACTTCTGCTGACTGCTGGCTGCCAGCAATGTGGCAGTTCGAATCTCACCGGCTCAAAGTTAACTCAGACTTCCATCCTTCCGAGGTCGGTAAAATGGGGACGCAATATTCCGAACCTGTAAACCACTTAGAGAGGACTATAAAGCACCGAAGCTGTATATAAATCTAAGTGCTACTGCTACAGTTATTCAGCAAACGTTAACATTGTGAATGTTGTTTTATTATCCCTCTCTTACTTGAGTTGGCGCTTCAGCCAGTCTTTCAGCACCACCATAAAAAGGAGTCAAATTCATTGTATTCTTCCCTGTGAGGGAGACAGAATTTTGAAATGGATAATTAATAGATATACAATAGATATACAATACAAGATATAGAATAGAAGACAAGAGATACAAAAGGTAAGACAGCTGGGACCTCTACCATATGAGATGTCCTGACTTGTGGATTCCTGATAGATCCTCCTGGAAAACAGCTCCCGAGGGGGATTTGATGCATTCCTCCTTCTCATAGGATCTCTGGTCTGCAGAGTGAAAGACTTGAAATATGAGGCAGGAGAAAAGAAAAATAAATAAGACATCACACTACATGAGGTGGATTCTTGTTCTCAAAAAACAACTTCAATGCCCCGATATCTATCATTGAGTATAGAATGTAAGAAAAAAGTTATCTTTACTCCACAGTCAGTCATTGACTTACAACCACAATTAGCCCTAAAATTTATGTTAAGAGAGGTATTTGTTAAGTGAGCTTTGCCCCATTTTACGACCTTTCTACCGACAGTTGTTAAGTGAATCATTGCAATTGTTAAGTTAGTCAATTAGCCCTAAAATTTATGTTAAGAGAGGTATTTGTTAAGTGAGCTTTGCCCCATTTTACGACCTTTCTACCGACAGTTGTTAAGTGAATCATTGCAATTGTTAAGTTAGTCACACGGTTTCCCCATTGACTTTGCTTGTCAGAAGTTCACTAAATCTGTTCAGATGATCCCAGGATACTGAAAGTGTCATAAATATGAATCACATCCCAAGTATCTGAATTTTGATCATGTGGGATGCTTCAACCGTTGTAAATGTGAAAAATGGTTGAAAGTCACTTTTTTCAGTGCCGTAACTATGAACAGTCACTAAATGAACTCTAATAGGACTATCTGTATATTCTAGAATACATAATGGAACAATGTCCTGCAAGAACTAATAGAACATATTCACGTTATGAAGAATTATAGAAGGGAAGGGTAAAGAATTTGAACATTCTTTATTCCCTTCTGAACTTCCAAGATGAAGGTCTCTCACCTGCAATTCGACTTGCTCCTTCTGTTCCTCTGCCTGACTCAGGAGGAAGCCTTCCGCCAGGGCCACCGCTTGGGAGCTGGTCTCTGCTCCACACTCCCGCACCCAGCTCTTCATCGGCAGGGGCAGAAGGGCCTGGAGCTGCTCCAGAACCACCAGATCCAACATTTGGGTTTTAGTATGCTTTTCTAATCTCAGCCATTGACTTTAATATAAACATTGTAGAGTCGGCTGCAAGGTCCTCAAGGACCTTCAGCCTCCTGGTATTGGATGTTTCTGAAGTTGCAGGGCTGAATCTCTGAAGTGGTAATGGTTTCCTTCTCCAGGATCTTCTGCCCAGTTCTTGCCCAGATCTTCCCACAGCTGGCAGGCTGAACAGCCGAGGGACTTGCTTCTGCGTCCTTTGTCTATCCTGTAAGGAAATTCCAAATAGGTCTGAGGAATCTTGTGGACACCTTTCAATTCATAAGACTTTTCCTGTTGTTGCAGAGCTGACCACAAAGACTATCCAGGCCTCTTCGCCCAAGAGAAGACTCTTCTACATCGCCCTGAGTCCTCCGGGAGAAGGGCGGTATAGAAATCTAATAAACTTAAACTTAAACTTAAGAGTTAACTTTTTGCTGTTAGGAAGTTTTTAGAGATGATTCTAGTTTCTGCATCCGAGATGGAAAATAAAATAAATTCAAAGAATGAGAAGGTCATGGACTTAAATACTGAACAACATTCATGGAATGGAGTCTTTTCCCAAGCTGGTAGAAGTTTGGCATTGCACAAATGGATGTTCTGGGTATTTATATGTCTGTCTGTCCATTGTGTGGTGCAAAAAATGGTCTTAGTTTCCATCAAGAACTTGTTATATCAAACCAATTTCATTTTTGGCGGAATTTCTATTTCTTTTTTCTCCAAATGGAAAATGGCTTTTTTAAAAAAAATTAAGATATATACATATATATATATATTTGATTTATATGCCGCCCTTCTCCGGAGACTCAGGGCGGCTTACAATGCGTCAAGCAATAGCCTTCATACTTTTGTATATTTTATACAAAGTCAGCTTATTGCCCCCACAACTGGGTCCTCATTTTACCTACCTTAGAAAGGATGGAAGGCTGAGTCAACCTCTCCCTAGAGGGGGAGCCTTTTCTGTGGGGGCACCTACTGTCTGGAATGAGCTCCCCCCGGAGATACGGAGGATCCCAGATCTGCGCACCTTCTGCCGCGCTGTGAAGACCTTTTTATTCCACCAGGCGGGCTTGGCCTAATCTTTTCCCTCTTTTTAATATGTAAATTTTAATCTGTTTTTAAATTATTGGGGTGTTTTAATTTGTCTGGGCCAAAATGGTTTAATTCGATTTTATTGGTTTTTTAAATTTTTTGTATCCATGTATTTTATTGTTTGGCTGTTCACCGCCCTGAGTCCTTCGGGAGTAGGGCGGTATACAAATCAAATAAAATAAAAAAATGAAATGAAATGAATTTACCCTGCACTTGGGGTTCATGCAAGATGCCAAAACTTAAAGAGCCTAAGAAACTGGAACAGAATACAGAATTCTTACACACATTTCTTGTGCTTCACATTGAGACATTTAGAGTTTAGAACAATCCATTAAATAATAAAGATCAAAGGTCACAAACAGGGAATATTAAAGAGGAGGAAAGAATGTTTCCCCTAAAGGAGAAATGTAGAAACACGCTCTTGTAGGAAGCCCCACCCCCCACCCTAGAAGAATGACATATTGTGGAAAATATTAAAAAAGGCGGAATATTATATTTCCCTAAAGGAGAAAAGGGAAAAAAATCTTAAGAGAGGCAGAAACCACCACCAGTCTCCCTGCCCCCAAGCAGAAACTGAGGCGGCCAGCTTTTAGAAATGCAGATTTGGTAATCCATTCAAAACAGGATATTTTGAAATCCCTTGCAGCAAAGTCTGACAGCAAACAAAGGCAGAGTGGTAGGGTTAGAAAGCGGCCCCTCACCCAAGACCCCAACACAGGAGGAAAGCCACAATAGGAATTGCCCACCACCCTTTCAGAACACAAGGAACATTGCACCACAACCCCCGAACAGTGCAAACTCCAAAGGCATAGAAACCTATAAAAGATCCATCCACTCATCCAACTGTTCAGCTGGCCCAGAACTGCACACTGTCTTTGTGGTTCTGTTCAATAAACCATCTTTCCAATCAGCCTCCATGTAGTTTCCAGGGTCTTTCTCCCAGCTTGGAACTGAACTAGATGGATTTTCCTTCCAAGAGGAGCACCCCGGTCAACTCCCAGAAGTTTGAGAAACATCTATACAATAAGAGCACTGCACACCAGAACAACCAGACACAAGAACAGTTTTTCCCCGAACGCCATCACCCTGCTCAACAAATAATTCCCTCAACATTGTCAAACTAGTTACTAAGTCTGCATTACTATTAATCTTCTCATTGTTCCCATCACCCATCTCCTCCCACTTATGACTGTAACCTTATTGCTGGTATCCTTACGATTTATATTGACCGTTTCCTACTATGATTTGATTGCTTATTTGTTCCTTATTGCTAAGTGTTGTACCTTATGATTCTTGACGAATGTAGCTTTTCTTTTATGTACACCGAGAGCGTACACACCAAGACAAATTTCTGGTGCGTCCAATCACAGTTGGCCAATAAAGAATTCGATTCAATTCTACTCTACTCTACTCCACTCCACTCCACCCTACCCTACCCTACCCTACTCTATGCTACGCTATTCTACTCTATTCTATTCTAATTTTCTATTCTATCAATCGTCTTGGGCACACAGTGCGAATGCTGCACCTCCCTCTCTGCAAGGTCTCCCTTCTTTTCTGCGGAAAGAGCCCTTTTGCCGGGAAAGGCTGGGAAGCAACACCCCAGTTCCAGTCCTCGCACATCCGTCTTTGCACCCAGAGCCATCAAGACAACATCTGGCCCCCTCCCCCCACGCATAGGCTACAAAGGAAATGGGGGGGGGGGAACAGACCCTCTCTTCTGGCGATCCCCATTTCTCTCCTTACCCACCCCACCCCTGCCTGGCTCCTGCAAAGAAAAGAGCAGCAGGGGAACATGGGATCCCGGACTCCGACCCCGGAGGAAGACTTAGCCCCTCTTCAAGCAGCTCTCCACCGCGAGACCCCTTTACACGGGTAATCCGCCACTCACGGAACTCGAGAGTCACGTCGGGATCCAGCCTCTGAGCCTCCGGCAAAGGCTCCGCCTACCACTCACAGCGGGGGGGGGGTTGAGTGGGTGGGGCCGACACGCCTCCAGCCTCTTCCCACGAACGCTCTCGGCAACAATTTACACATACTTACTGGAACAGAGCGGCGCATGCTCAGTTCCCTCCAGATGCTGAGAACGCCCCCTGCTGGACTATTTGCAAAGTGCCAGCATTCCCTGAAAGGGCGGGAAAGTGGAGCCTATCTGAGGGCGGTGGGGGAAGGAAGAGAGGGATGATGGTTCATTGGAGTAGTAGGAAAGACTCCATGTGAGTCTCCAGCGATGGAAGCGTCTGTGGAAATGAAGAAAAATCTCTCTGGAGGATTTGAACTTGCTTCCCTCAAGAATAGCCACCCTGAAGGCTTGGTAGCGATTGGAGGACTCCTCAAAAGGAGCCAAATCCTGTCAGAAATGGCCAGATGGGCGGAAGACGAGGACCAGGAGGCTCTTTGGTTAATATATTTCGTATCATGTGGTTGTTGCGAACTCCAGCCTGAAGGGGAGGAAGATGAGGCTGGGGTAGGGAAGCCACAATCAGGAAAATGGAACTTCTATCGTGTTTTTGTTCTCTAGTTCTGTATATACACCTGTACCAGTAGTGGGTTCCAAATCCCATTGCTACCGATTCGCCCGATCCTGGGCGAACTGGTAGCAACACACCACTGACCTATACTTGTCAAATTTTTGGCTGTGGGTGAAGCCAAAAATAATCGGAAACACCGAGTGGCTGCTTGCAAGAAAAGAAATAATGCTGAAGAAAAAGAAAACCAGTCCCAAAAAGGGGAAAACGTTAAACTGGTAGATGTTCCAGGAATTTTACCTCGCGAGGCTCCTTGGAGGACAGAGGAGGGAAATGGTGTCTCATCTATGACTGGAAAAAAGGGGGAACTACAAAATGATGGAAACAGATTATGGAAAAGAGAATATAAAATTAAAATATAGTGAGGGGCAAAAAAGAAGAAACATATTTTATTTAGGGGTTGAATACCAAACACCCTCAGGAAACACGAATAGGAAACGTAAGACCTTTTTAGAATTTAAGGTAGTTGGGATATCTCTAGATCAGCGGTGTCAAACTGGATTTCTTCGATGGGCCGGGGTGGTGGGGGGAGACAGGACAGATGCCTCTTACAGCACTCTGCCGGCCGAAAAGGAGCCATGGGGGGGCATGCAAAGCCCGCCCCCCCCATAGTCTGTTTTGGTTGGCAGAGACACCGTGGGTCAGTTCTTTGATATTTCCAGGCTGCCCCTGAGGGCCAGATCTAAATACCCCATGGGTCAGATCCAGCCCGCGGACCTTCACTCCTGCTCTAAATCATGAATAAAAAGAAAAGTACAATTGTTTTCTAATTTTGTATGGCTCCCACTCTGATTTCCATTTCTCTAACGCAAAATTGGACAATAACTGGCAGAAAACTCAAATTTTCCCCATTTTGACAGATTCATCCAGGGTTACTAGTTGAATAAACAGCTTCAATCCAGCAGGAGCCTCAGAAACTCAGAAGTTTATCCCCCACCCAAATGCTTTCCCCAAATGTTTGCCAATAAAGAGTTGTTATGGCTTTTCTCATTATGGTATAGTAAACAGATACAAAGACAGCATTTGTTTTTCCCACAAAAATTTTATTAGACACCCTTAAAACTCCCACTCCTTACTTGTAAAGTTAATGCTAACCTCACCTTGCTTATTTTACTCTCTTCCTATTACTATACTTTAGCAACTAGCTTATTGGATATATCTATTTCTATCTTCTTTCTCTATGTGTATATATGAAAACCCATTTTGCTCCTCTGTAGATTTGTCAAGGGCTTCCAAAGGTACTTTTTTTTTTTTTTAATTTATATATATATATATATATATATATATATATATATATATATATATATATATATATATATATATATATATATATATATATATATATATATATATATATATATATATATATATATATATATATATATATATATATTTGATTGATATGCCGCCCTTCTCCGGAGACTCAGGGCGGCTTACAGTGCGTTAAGCAATAGCCTTCATACTTTTGTATATTTATACAAAGTCAGCTTATTGCCCCCACAAACTGGGTCCTCATTTAACCTACCTTAGAAAGGATGGAAGGCTGAGTCAACCTTGAGCCTTGGAGAGATTCGAACCAGCAGTAAATTGCAGGCAGCTGTGTTAATAACAGGGTGCTTTAAACCACTGTAGTACCAAAAGGCAACTGGAATTTCTATTTTCTTGAAGATGTTTCGCTTCTTATCCAAGGAGCAACTTCAGATCTGAAGATGCTTCTTGGATGAGAAGCGAAAGGTTTCCGAGAAAACACGAAGTCCAGTTGCCTTTTGGAAAAGTACCTTTGGGACAACCATGACCTGGATGTAGGAGAATCTCCATAGGCATTTGTCAGGGGGCTGTACTCTCCCCTCCTCAATCATAATCCTCTACTACTGGAGCTGCTTTGGGGGATTCTGCACCATGGCTGGCTGCATGAAGGGCTCTTCCCTGAATTTTCAGACTGGGAGGTCTCATCTGGCGGTTCTCTAAGCTGTCTCTTAGCCATTCTTGGAGCTCCACAAATTGCATTTTTCCCTCATTGCCAGCTTTCTCTTTCTGTACAACAAACTCCAGCGAAGTTTGTTGTATTATAGAACCATAAATATGAGAATCTCCATAGGCATTTCTCAAGCAGCTTTCCTCTCACCTCCCTATGCATAACCCTCTATTACTGGAGCTGCTTTGAGGAATTCTTTGCCCTGTGAAATATTAATACCGCTTTATAAAGCCTTAATAAGACCACACCTAGAATATTGCATCCAGTTTTGGTCATCCCATTAGAAAAAAGATGTTCAGACTTTGGAAAAAGTGCAAAGAAGAGCAACTAAGATGATTAAAGGCCTGAAAGCTAAAACACGAAGAAAGGCTGTAGGATATTGGTTTGGCTCGTCTAGAAAAAAGAAAGACTAGGGGTGACATGATAGCAGTGTTCCAGTATTTGAGAAGCTGCCACAAAGAGAAGGGGGTCAATTTATTTTCCAAAGCACCAGAAGGCAAGAGAAGAAACAATGGAAACTAATCAAGCAACCTGGAATTAAGGAGAAATTTCCTAACAGTGAGGACAATTAACCAGTGGGACAGCTTGCCTTCAGAAGTTGTCACCACTGGAGGTTTTTAAGAAGAAACTGGATAGTCACTTGTCTGAAATGGTATAGGATCTCCTGCTTGAGCAGGGGGCAAGACTTCCAAAGTCCCTTCCAGCTCTATTCTGAGTCTGAAATGAATTTACCATAGCAAAATGTTATAAATTTTCTGCCCTAGTGACTATAGTAATGTGTACTAATTTAGTACACAGGTAGATAATGTGCGTTGGACCATCATCCAAGATGGGCATTATGTTAGTTTGGCCAACTGTTTCCACACACTTGAAAACTTGGAATGGGCACGCAAATTACGACATGGAGAAAATCTTGCCACAATAGATATGCTGTCATGCTGAATTGATAAATTCACAGCTCCCCACAAAATGAAATACTTTCTATGATCTATGCATATATCTGCATTGAACAATGGAGTTGCATTTGATCAGGTTGGCTTAACTCTGTATATGCTGCAATAATGTGACAGAATTTATAACATACATGGTTGCAGGCAACAGTGAATAGCTGCATTTTAGATGCATAATATTTATTTATTTATTATTTTATTTTATTTTATTTTATTATTTTATTTTATTTTATTTTATTTTTTTATTTTTTTATTTTATTTTATTTTATTTTATTTTATTTTTTTATTTTATTTTATTTTATTTTATTTTATTTTATTTTATTATTTTATTTTATTTTATTTTATTTTATTTTTTTATTTTTTTATTTTATTTTATTTTATTTTATTTTATTTTATTATTTTATTTTATTTTATTTTATTTTATTTTATTATTTTATTTTATTTTATTTGTATACCGCCCTTCTCCAACAGGACTCAGGGCGGTGAACAGCCATGGTAAAAACACAACATATAAAATTTAAAAACAATTTAAGAAACATTAAATAATTTTGGCCATCAATTTAAAATAACCCAATTAAAACCAATTATAAATTTAAAACTGCAAGGATGGGGTCAAGCCAGCCCGGCTAGATGGAATAGATGTGTTTTCAGGGCCCGACGAAAAGTCCGGAAGCACCATATGAAGCACCATTTCATCACGCACCATTTCATCACGGTACTAGATGGTTGGAACCACTGCTACAACACTGCTACAGCAGTGGCATCACAATCAAAGATCCTTTCGATCAGTAGCTTTCCTAAACCAAAAACATTACTCACTTTGAATGAACTGTTTAACAACTGAGAACTGTACGTGTAGCTTTTTATTTGGGCTGATTATAGGATGTATGCCTACACAGAAACCCAAATTATATACCTGCTTCCCAAAAAGAAAGGTATATTGCATCACTGTTGGCACATCAATTGTTACATACAAGTCTCAGTCTTTAATGTTCTGAACACACAGTCCTAGATAAACTACCCAACTGGAAAAGTATGTTCAGTATTTCGGTAAGCTTCCCACATTGTTCAATGTATGTTCAACACACTGTGGGTTTTGGTTGCCATATTCGCTGACAATCCTAGCAATGTGTTTATCTGCCATGCAATATTTCTTCAGTTTCAGTGGAGGACCATGTCCTGAAAGGAGTTGTTCATAAATCACATCTCTGTCTTTCTGGACTTTCCGCAGACCATCAATAAACTTGCAAATAGTTGGACACTACAATCCCAATTGAGCACATAGTCGCCGTTGAGAACTTCAGAGAGATTGTTCGTGCAATCCTCTCCACTTCGCGTTCAGTCAACATACATTCCACAGGGCTGTTGCAAACAAAGATGGCCGCGTCTTCCTTGTCTTCTCCTGCCTGGATGACCTATGTAATTGTCCTTGAAGCAGAGTTCAGTAGAGGTTGCAGGTTCCTGGCAAATATTTTTCTAGAGCAGCAAAATATTCTTCCAAGTCCGAAACAGGCACTAATGCCAAAGCTGAAGAAACCATTTTTGCTTTCACAGCAAATTGCATCGGTGTTGAATTCATGGGCAGCTCCAGTTGTTACCAAATGCTTCCTCATGTTGAATGAGGTGGAACAAACAGCCTTTTAGAGCCACTTCTGGGAAGTATTCCCTGATGGCAGCCATTTCAAAATCACAGAGAATGGTCCACGGCTGGGTGTTAGCCACTAGGATTTTCACAAGCTCAAACAGCAATTTGTATGTAGTGCACTGTTTGTTTGGCCAAAAATACATACAACATGGGGCATGTCCTCATACTTCTTTGCTAGGATCACATAAACCTGAGCAAACAGTTTGTGAGCAATTGCAAAAATGCCATCCACGTACCAGGTGTCAGATGATTGCAGAATATACAGCCAACTACTTCTGCCAAATATTAGGATCCTGCTCTATCCCTCTCCGAAATTGCTTCTACACCCAGTATTGGTAAAAAGATCTTGTATTCATCGGGTAATACAAGGTCATCCAGGCTCACTGTGGGTCCAAAGGTGCTGCCTGCATTTGTTTTTCGTGTCTGCTGGATAGTTTTTTTGCAATGCTGAAGTTCTAGGTACTGCAGCATAGAGCGCTAGGCTCACTTTGGCCAGACAGGTATGAGTAACTTGGGATATCCCTTCCACTGTCTCTCCAGCTTGGCGCTTCATGCTGATCATAAATCTTGCCACTTCCACATTCGTTGCTGAAGGCCAGAGGGAATGCCTATTGATCCTCTTCATTACTTTTCTGTATCTGGTACGAATTCTGGCCTTGCATTTTGTACACTACTCACAGCGCCAAAATGTAATGGAAGAATCAACTTCACTCAGCTTATCGAATATGTAAGCAAACTTTTCTCTTCTTCTCTTGCTTGTAACAGTAACATCCACCTCACATGTTGAAATGGGTCAGCCATGGGCAACTCACTACGGTCAACTCGCCACACTTTGCTAAAAAGAAGAAAAAATAAACTTGTAAGCAAACTTGTGTAAAGGAGAAAACAACTGTGCAACCTTAGAAAGAGAGAATAAATTATAACTTTTGATTATTTTATCTTTATTTTTTCTTTTCTTGTTTAATTATACTTGTTTAATTCTGTTCATTTATCACCTTTCTTTGTCTTTTTTATTTCCTTTTCAAAATTTGTATTGTTTTTAGTCTGATAAAATTTATTTAATAAAATTATAATAATAAAAAGAAAGAGCTGATATATCTAATTACAGAATGTCTTCCCAAATACTTGACTGGGGAGTACCAAATTCTTACCCAGAGAGTCTACATTCCTATGATTTTCTAGCATGACTTCACTATGTGGTGTTTTCTGGTGAACATCCAATTGAGACCATTCCTCCTTGGACAAATACACAACCACCTCCTCAAAGGATACAAGACCCTCCTGAATGAGAAAAAAATAGATAAGAAGAATTCAGGAGACCTACAAGATTTGTTCAACAGGTTAAATCATCCCAAGCAAAGATACACATTCACTGAAAAGAATCTCAGTTTCCTTCTCTCCTCTCTCTCTCTCTCTCTCTCTCTCTCTCTCTCTCTCTCTCTCTCTCTCTCTCTCTCTCTCTCTCTCCCTCCCTCCCTCCCTCCCTCCCTCCCTCCCTCCCTCTCTCTCTCTGTCTTTGAGTTTGTATATTTTTAAGTACCTGAAGCCACAGAGGAGGAAGTTTCAAAAATGGGTTCTCCCAAAAAAGAGAAATTTACGTTTTGTCAGGAGCCCAAGTGTGGAAAAGGAAAGAATTCCCTAAAATGGAATAATACTGAGTGAAATGAATGCACCTTTAAGATGATGTCCTGGTTAACTCACTGTCCTAAAGCAAGTTGAACTGGGGAGGATCTGACCCTAGTTTTTGTCTTTGTATTCCAAAGGAAACATGAAAGATTTGCAACTTACATATCAAAAACGGAAAAACCAAAGAAAAGATCCAGAAAAACAGAGTGACTAACCGAGAATCCATCCCAAAAGGAAAAAAAAAAAATAACAAGAAAATATTATGAAAGGACTAATATCAGGGAAGAATGTGGGGAATCTTATTAGGTAGGTTGACTTCTCTGCATCTGGAGGATATTGTGGAGAACCGTCAATGAACTTCTATCAAGAACGCAAAATAGCGGCGAAATACATTCAAAACATGTTTTGGATTTCTATTTCCTAGTTATTTATTCTAATAATTTCTATGACCGTATAGGAAATTAAGAACTTCTTTAAATGTCTCAGGTCACAAATAGCAATCTAGATATGAGCTATATAAATCGATTTCATAAGGAAATATATCAACATTTGATAGGAGCCTGAGTGGCGTAGGAGGCTAATGCCTCCTACTAAGGCAGCATTTAACATCCAGCTGCCTGCAATTATTGCGAGTTCAATTCTCACCAGGCTCAGGGTCGACTCAGCCTTCCATCCTTTCTAAGGTGGGTAAAATGAGGACCTGGTTTGTGGGGGCAATAAGCTGACTTTGTATAAAATATACAAAAGTATGAAGCTATTGCTTAACGCATTGTAAGCCACACTGAGTCTCTGGAGAAGGGCAGCATATAAAAATAAAAAAATAAATTAAAAAAAATTAAAAAAAAACATTTGAACTAATAGTAAAACTTGTCAGCAGACTCCCATTAATCACCTGGCCCAAAATCCCTTTGGGAATGTGAAAAGCCTGAATTAACAAACCACCATCCAATACACAGAAGACTAACACCGAAATGAATAAACCATTTACAGCCTAAAGATGATTTCCTGATTCATGCACCTCCTACAAACACGTTTCCCACTTCTTAGCCTAATCCACACTTTTTCAAACATGGACTAATTAAGACGTGGGGATGTCAACTCCCAGACTTTAAAGAAGTTTGAGAAACAACGGCCTCATTGGGCACACGGTGCGAAATGCTGCAACTCAGCCCAACTTGTACGTGAGTCCCTGCAACTTTTCCTTTATTTGCTGACAGAGCCCCTTCGCGGTCGTGGAGAAAGGCTGGGAAGCAGGACCCCAGTTTCAGTCCTCCAACAGGGGGCTCCGTCCTTGCACCCAGAGCCAGCAGGAAGAGTTCCGGCCAGCCTGCCTCTCCCCCTCCCCCCCATGCAGAGGCACCCCCAGGAAATGGGGGGGGGAACCACCGCTCCCCTTCGGGTGACCCCCAGTTCTCTCCTTTCCCCCTCGCCTAGCTCCTTCCTGGGAATGGGAGGCAGGGGAACATGGGGCCCCGGACTCCAAGCCTGGAGGTTGACTTGGACCGTCTCCACACACCCTTCCAGCGCGGGACCCCTTTGCACGGGCAGAGCCGCCGCTCACAGAACTCGGGAGACTCGTCTGGATCCGCCCAAAGACTTCCCACTCACAGCGGACAGAGGAAGCACAGCCTTTTTCAACCAGCGCTCCGACAAACACGTGCCTCGCTCCCGCGGAATCCGGGCGCATGCTCAGTTCCCTCCTGAAGGGAAAGTGTAGCAGATTTGGGCGGGAGTGCAGGGATGAATGTATGGGCATGGGACTAGGAGGAAAGGCCTCTTTCAATGCTTCCCCGGCTGCCGAAGAAAAGCTATGCGGTCTCCAGAGGCAGCAATTTCTCCATCTTCTTCTCCTTCCCGTCCAGGAACCGTCGGTGAAGGTGGAGAGAAATCTCTTTGGAGGATTTTTAATTTTAATTTTTAATTTTATTTATTTTTATATGCCACCCTTCTCCGGAGACTCAGGGCGGCTTACAATGCGTTAAGCAATAGCCTTCATACTTTTGTATATTTTATACAAAGTCAGCTTATTGCCCCCACAAACCGGGTCCTCATTTTACCCACCTTAGAAAAGATGGAAGGCTGAGTCGACCTTGAGCCTGGTGAGAATTGAACTCGCAGTAATTGCAGGCAGCTGGATGTTAAATGCTGCCTTAGTAGGAGGCATTAGCCTCCTACGCCACTCACGCTCCCTCAAGAACAGTCACCCTGAAGGCTCAGCAGAGATTGGAGGAGGCCTCAAAGAGGGTCAAATCCTCTCAGAAACGGCAGGGTCGTCAGAAGTCGAGGAACAGGAGCCTCTCTTGGAAACGCAACTTTTTGTCTTCTGGTTCTTGCAAACTCTGGCCTGAAGTTTAGCAAGATGGGACACAGGCAGGGAAGCAACAATAGGGGAAATTGAGGTTTCTACTGATTTTTTTTAATTTTTTTAAAAACACATTTCTTATACACATAATGTAAATGTACATTCTCTTATATTTATTTATTTATTTATTTTGATTTATATGCCACCCTTCTCCGGAGACTCAGGGCGGCTTACAATGCGTTAAGCAATAGCCTTCATACTTTTGTATATTTTTATACAAAGTCAGCTTATTGCCCCCACAAACCGGGTCCTCATTATTTGTCATACAAATACATATTTTTCTTAAAGCATAAAAGCATAAAAATAAAGCATTTTAATTACATTCAGGTTGCTCTTCTACCCTTTCTTTTCTCTTTCACAACAAACCTCCTTCTTCTTCCTTTCCCTTCCCTCCCTCCTCTCGTCTCCTACTTTCTCCCTCCTCCTCTCCTTCTTCTGTCCTACTTCCCCTTCCTTTCCCCCACTACTCCTCTCTTTTCTCCCTTTGTCACCTTCTCTCCTACTCCTGTCCCGTCCTTTCTACCTCTCCTTTCCCCTTTCTTCCATTCCTCTCTCTCCCTCTCCTCTTCTTACCCTCTACTCCTCTCTCCTTTCTTCTTTGTTGTGGAATATTTTCCTTGTTTGGTATCCAAGCAACTCCTATATTCTAATAATATATACTTTTCATTTTTTTTTCAATTTTACTCTATCACTTTTATCATAATTGTACATTTATCCTTATAATCTTTCTTCCCCCCCCCCCCCATTCCCCTTTTTCCATTTATTCCTCTGGATGCTTTCTGGATTTCTATTTCTTTTTTATCCTTTCCCTCATTTACCTTTCTATTTATCTAAATCATTTATGATTATTTTTATTTCTATATTTCAATATATACACCTGTCTTTCTCAAATTTTTGGTTCTGGGAGCCTGAGAATAACTGGAAACACCAGGCAGCTTGTGACAAAGAAATCAATCCTGAAGAAAAGAAAACCAGCTACAAAATGGAAGGGAAAAAAAGCTCAAACTGCTGGGTGTTCCAGAAATTTTGCCTCACACATCGAGGCTCTTTGAAGAAATGAACACTGGGAACATGTAGAAAAAGTGGAGTTGCAAAATGAAGAAAGGACAAAATGGAAAGGGAAATTTCTTATTCATGTGTTGAGGAGGGAATTCACGTCAGGAAATGTGACAAGGAAGTGTAAGACCTTTGGGGAATTAAAGGCAAGGGAAAATATTTAGATCATGAGTAAACAGAAAAAGATTTGAAAGCGAAAGAACTTTGATTTTCAGGCATAAGATCTGAATCCACTGATTTGTTTGCACTTGGAGCTCACACTGGGGGTGGGAGGGATTTAACGACAATGACTAAAAAATTAAATGGAAGGTGTTTAAAAATCAGTTTTGAAAGAATAGAATTTACTTTATTTAGTTAACTATTATTATTATTTCTTTGTTCTCCAGTTTGACTTGGAACTATTAAGGAGCAATATTTGGATAAACATTTTCAACCCAGGAGTCTCTGAAAGTCTGAAATATGCCGTCAATCAAAGCTTTCAAACATAATGTGTTGGCACTCTAACAAATCAGCCATCAATAGACACATAGATCAGTGCTAAAACCTATGATAACTGCAGAATATTCAACATCTGTCCTATTGTTCAAGGCATCCCAAGCAAAGATATACACTTCAGGGCCTTTCACTGAAAGGAACCTGTTTCCTTCTGCATCCATCCATCCATCCATCCATCCATCCATCCATCCATCCATCTCCATCCATCAATTCATCAGCAAGACTTTCAGCACTTGGAAAGAATTTAATTGGTAGATGGACTTTGGAAAACCCATCACTGACTCCAATTCAACCTGAATTTGCGGACGAAAATACAGGGAGGGGATTCATTTTACCATTTAAGTAAAATGATGTGGTGTCCCCAGAAGGAACAATCCTATCCATTCTCAACACCTTCATGAAAGTGCTTTGGGAGGTAGCCAGGGATTTAAGTGGGGGTGCAATCAATAACAACACAACCTTGTGTTGTTCCCAATTCGGGTCTGAGCCTGGGGCCGAGGCCAATGAAGGATGCCAGGCACGAGGTGCAGGTTTTGATTGCCTTTTTATTGGAGTGGTACAATAGGAAAAGGGATACTGGCCAAAAGGCCAAGAACTAAGAACAAAGGATTAAGAAAGCTTTGTACATTTTCATTAAAGCAGAAGGCAGGATAATAAGAAATACCTAATAAAAATTTTAGTAGTGATCTAACAATTTATCTTTATTGGTCTTTAGCCATCCCTATTCCTAAGCCTTGG